TGGGCAAACTGTTTTTTTCTTTTTTTTTCTATTCTGACACGGCTCCGTGTCAGAATAAAGAAAAAAAAAGAAAAAGCAGTATTTCTCAGGTTTTTTGTTTTCTTTTTTTTTTGACGGCAGCAGAACCGCCGGACAATAGAAAACTGTTGGGCGGAGCGGTCTGAGGGACCGAGCAGAACAGCCAGCTATTCACTCACTGCTGTTCGGCATCTATAAGAATAGGCTGAACAGCAGTGAGAAGCCTGCCGGAGGTTCGATTCCAGATGTTGGATCGGCTGAATCGAACTCCTTCTGCACTTCGGGTCAGCCGAACATGCTGAGCATGTTCGGCCGACCCGAAGACATGCGAAGCAAGCCGATGTATGGCTGATTTCAGCCGATATACGGCTGAAATCAGCCGTACAAGCCTGAAGTGAATAGCCGAACAGTGTTCGGCTCACTTCTCTTGGGGTCGTTTGTTCACTCGGCAGCTTAGTGAATAGACCCCTATGTGAATGGATTTATTGCTACTTAAACATATGCAAGAAAATGAGACACAAGATAACTACTGCTGAACAAAGGATCAGCAACATAGCGAATACAGATAAGCCTCTCTCTCTACTGATTTCTGTACAGTCAGGTGTGGAATCATTCCTAAAAAAACTGGCTTATTCTTTGCATACCTTATTTCTCTTTTCCTCCCCATTCTTCTGACAGTGGCCATTTTTACAAAGGGCAGGTTACTAGATCTCCCTTTACTTCCTGGAACTCTTGCACATATGACTAGGAAATGTGACCATGCCCATAACCTCAGGGGAGTAAAATGCCTTTCCCTGAGACCTCGTGAGACTACTGATGAGATTTCCCAGCAATGCACTGCTGATGTAACTTTCCCTGGATGCAACACTTGGGCACGATTACATCATTTGTGCCAGGATTTTACAGTATGAAATTGGAATCTAAATCGGGCCTAGTTTTAGAGATGAAATGGAACCCAAAAGCAAATCTTGCATTTTGTGCAACCGTTAATTGTACTGTAAACTTAATTCATAAGTTTGATTTAACTGCCATGTGTTTGTTGCATTTGAAGCTACTGAACTAGATATTTACCCCTTCAGAATGATAGAGCAATAATCCACTTGGCTGTAGGGTCTTGAAGCTGAAACCTCCTTCAAAACCATCAAAGGGAGCTACCTTTTGACTGGATGCAATAAAGCTTTGTCCATTGAAATATGCTCTGCGAGACATCTGTGTAAACATAAAAATAACAAAGATTCATTTTGAAAACAGCTGTAGCCAAACATATTTAAGATTTTTATGTAAAGATAATATTTACTTGTTCTTTGTTTAACAAACCACACAGTAACATAAACCCAAGACAAAAACACAGCTTCAATTTTTGGCTGTGTTAGAAGAATCATATTATCTTTTCATACTATAAAAAGTCTGTTTTGTGTAAATTGTTTTTATTTTATGCTAAACAGCACAAAATGAATAATTCCATTCTATAAAGCTCTCACCACCCATGTGCACTTCAATGACATGAGTATATTTGCTTGGGGCAGCAGCATGTTGTGCTGTATATAGGAGCATTTGACTGACCAATAGTGGTTTTATTGGAATTAAGTTTGTCATACTAAACTGCCTGCACATATTACATAATTTCAACAGCGCTGGAACACCTGAACAGTGACTGCAGCAGATTGGGAACAGTCACTGGTCGGTTAAAACATTTTGGAGCAGCTCCTGGAACGTTTTGCCACCTTAAATTGTGCTAATTGATCCCTGTAAGGCAGGCCATACATTAGACATTTTTTCTCATTCAGCTACGCAAACAAGCTAAACTGACCAAGAAAATACCTCTTGAATAATAACAGTGTGGATAGGGGAAATCACTCCACCAGTCCATTGTATTCTGATAGCAGCAGGTGTGCCAGTATCAGAACATCCAAACAGTGACTGCAGCCAATGTTGGCTGAAATTTTATGGACCGGTTCCATCGAGTCAGGGGTATCTGGACGCGGTCAAACTGCTGACTTGGCTGAAATTCGACCAGTATGTGGCCAGCTTTAGACAGCCAAACATTATATCTTTAGCATATGTCCACCTTAAATAGCAATTTCTAAATAATTCCAATGGATAAACTTTGGAACCTTTCATCTAAATCTCCAATGCTTTTGCAACCTGTCAACTACATAGAAGCTTAATTGAGAGTGACCACTCAGCATAGCTCTGTATCGTGACGATACAAAGGATTACTTAACATGGCTGCATACAGACTGAATACTGTCTCTTATGTCTCCTGCCTCAATGAGTATGCTACTCTGTCTAATTAGAGAAGTGCTGCATGCCGAAACATTCTTTTGCATGTAACACTAACATTTTTCCCTCTTCCTTTAATAATCTTTGCTAGGACAGAGTTGTTACAATGCCTACAGTCTGGTATAGTTATGCATATGTATAAAGTGAAATAACCATGTTTGATTGCAGCCAAGCACAGCAAAAAGGTCAAAAAAGTTGGTTGCAAGTTGGTGTGTACATTCTAATACAGTATCAGTCATCTGAGGATGAACAAGCATTCATAAAATAGAAATATTGTAATTTTTGTCATATCACATCTGTAGGCAAGATATGGTATTGTCTGATACTGCATGCCATCCATTTCAGCTTTTTTGTATACATCAATAGGATTACATTCTCCCTTTTTATTAGTAACAACATCACCAGGTAGAGCTAGCTCAGGATTGCCTTTCAATACCTAAATGACCCAAATAAAGGTTTAGCCCACCCAAAGTAATATTCCTCTTTTAGGCCGATGCTGCCGAAGAGATTCTTATATATTTAGGACTCTGCTGGTAAGATATCTCCTCTTGCGTTCCTTGCTCTGTACCCCTGCTGTGGCCATTATCAGATGTCCATGTTGCTCCTGTTGGATCATATATTTATTTTGTCTTATGGACAATGCAATAAGAGGAACCAGTACATACAAATTTATGGGAACACCCAAAACCCAAAAGTCAGAAGGTATGGCAAGTAGATCTCAATGTTGGCATATCCAAGGCATATAAGAGGCCAGCCCAACATACTCTACTGATAACTAAAATATCACTTTTGAGTGTGCAGATCCTTTTATTTAATACTTCTGTGGAGACGTGGGAGCCTAAATTACAGTTCAACAGCAGTATGCATGAACATATTTAAAAACAAAAACAGAATTTTGCAAAAAAAGATTAAATTATAGTAACTACAAAATATCCATCTTTAAGAGTACTTAATAAAACCTGAGAACTTACAAGGGAATCTTCTGGGCAACCATAGCTGATTCCAATGGTGTCTGGTTCTTCTAAGAGATTGAAATCTTTTTTCTGGAATTGGAAGCTCTTCATACATCCCCTGTATGCAATATCTGCAGCCACATGAGCCTTCATACTGTGGGAGATAATGAGATAAATACAATAAGGCATCCTACATACATCCTACATTGATACAAATCAAAAAGAACAGTAATGACAATATTCAAAGAACCTGTGGTTCACAGATTTTTATTGTTTTGTCTGAGTATTTGCATGCAGATTTGAGCTATCTTATTGCACATACTGATACTAAAGTTATATGTTAGTTAAACGTAAACATTTAGTATGGATATACATACAGGAGAAACAGTGTACAAGGTCATAGGGGTCTATTCACAAAGCTGCCGAAGGATCTGGCCGTAGCTTCGGCCGATCCTTCGGCTGGCTCCAGGCCCAGGACCCCTTCGGTTCAGGAGAACCGAGGGGGTGCTGTACGGGCTATTCACAATAGCCGTACAGCTCCCGATCACGGCCGAGCAGCTCAGTCGAGTGCTGAGCCGTGCTGAAAGCCGAAGCTGGCCGAGCGGCCGGCCATTGGCCATCCGACAGCCTGCTTCTGACAGCTGGGCGGAGCCAGCCGTGATCTTACGGATGGCTCCGGCCACTTTCGGAGAGATCAGCGTCCCTGGTTGCTAACCAGGGACACTGATCTCCAA